ATTGAACTGCAGTCACAAGGCATTGTTGAAGTTAACGTTCGTTCGTTACAGTGTTGTTTTAGCGCGAGTATTGAGATTAAGTGTATCGCAGAGTTATATTCGGAAAGAATAAACCAGTTTTATTAAGTAATAACTTGTGTCGTTAAAGTTTCGTTGGAACGAAGTTACGGAAAAGAATCAATTAACAAACGGAGACGTAACAACATATTACATACTCCTGAGACACAATATTGTTGGACGCATTTAATAAATAGCGTGTAAAACGTGAACTTACAGTGACCAAACTAAAATTTAAAAAATCCCTAAATATAAATTATTATGCTAAATATTTATTGCTTTCAAGTTATAGTTTATCAGGATCACGTGCGTCAAAAGGATCTAAAATGATTATAAAATGTTATTCGTTTATTATTTTGTGTAATAACATGGACAGTTCTGAAATTAGAATTGAAAAAAAGAATATAAAACAAATGAGATAACTAATAAAGTAGTGTGATTAAGTAAGGCTTAGCTCTTACTGATACACATGTTTGACGAGATAGCTAAAATGATTCGTCTTTCTTGACAAGTAGAACAGAATCTATCTTTAAAACCAATGGGGCAAACATGAAAGTCTATATATTCTACAGTGTCATTTAAAAAACAAAACTAAAAACATAATCTATTCACTGAATCACAATTATACTGGATTGTGGTAAGTTGGTTTTATTTCTAAATATCTGGACAATTTAAAAATATAGATATATGTTACTTGTTTTTAAAAGTGGTTTTAGTAAAGGAAAGACAATTCATCCTTGAATGATCAACTGACTTCATCCAACTTTTCGACTTGTCTTTAAAGGACCTTTTGCGCTGATAGAACAGGCCTTCTGTGACTACATTAGCATTACTGTGATGCCCTACGGATTTAATCATTGTGATTATGAAAGTAGTGATTTTGCGGGTTTGACAATAATGATTATAGTGGTGAGGTTCTACGGGTTTGATTACACTGATCATGGTGGTGGTATTCTGCGGTTTGATTATAGTGATTATGAAAGTATTGATTTTGCGGGTTTGACAATAATGATTATATTGGTGAGGTTCTACGGGTTTGACTTCACTGATCATGGTGGTGGTATTCTGTGAGTTTGATTATAGTGATTATGAAAGTAGTGATTTTGCGGGTTTGACAATAATGATTATATTGGTGAGGTTCTACGGGTTTGACTACACTGATCATGGTGGTGGTATTCTGTGGGTTTGGTTATAGTGATTATGCGGGTGAGGTTCTGTGGGTTTGACTTTAGTGGGGTCTGTCATACCCTAATGGCTAGGGCACTCGACTCGCAATCTGTAGGTAGTCAGTTCAAATCCCATCAGCGAACATGCTAGCCCTTTCAGCCATGGAATCGCTATAGTGTGACGGACAATCCCACTATTCGTTTGTATAAGAGCAGCCCAAGAGTTGGCGGTGGGTGGTGTTGACTAGCTGCCTTCCCTCTAGTGTATCACTGTTAAATTAGTGACGGTTAGCACAGATAACCCTCGAATAGCTTTGCACGAAATCCAAAAATAAACAAAAGACTTGTGATAATGGCTGTGTTCTCTGCATTTGGCTATAATGACGATATTGGTGTTTTGTAAGTTTGACTACAATAATGGTGGAGTTCTGTGGACTTGTCTACAGTGATGACTGTGGCAGTATTCTGTAACTTTGAATCATTATGATTATGATAGTAACATTCTGTGGATTTGACTACAATAATTATGGTGGTGACATTCTACAGGTTTGACTACAATGATGGTAATCTGTGGATTTCACTACAGTGATTATGATAGTGGTGTACCGTGGTTATGGTGGAAGCTTTGTGTGAATTTAATGGTAGTGACGTTTTGCAGGTTTGACTACAGTTATAACGATGATGTTCTCTGTGTTTGAATACGATGCTTATGGTGGAGGCTTGCTGTGTGGTTTGACTAGAGTGATGGTGGTGGTGTTTAGTGACAATGGTGGCAGTTTTTTTTTGTGAGATTGAAGACAGTGATGGTGGTGGTGGTGTTTAGTGACAATGGTGGCAGTTTTTTTGTGAGATTGAAGACAGTGATGGTGGTGGTGTTTAGTGACAATAGTGGCAGTTTTTTTTGTGAGATTGAAGACAGTGATGGTGGTGGTGTTTAGTGACAATGGTGGTAGTTGTTTGGTGAGATTGAAGACAGTGATGGTGGTGGTGTTTAGTGACAATGGTGACAGTTTTTTTGTGAGATTGAAGACAGTGATGGTGGTGGTGTTTAGTGACAATAGTGGTAGTTGTTTTGTGAGATTGAAGACAGTGATGGTGGTGTTTAGTGACAATGGTGGCAGTTTTTTTGGTAGATTGAAGACAGTGATGGTGGTGGTGTTTAGTGACAATGGTGGTAGTTGTTTTGTGAGATTGAAGACAGTGATGGTGGTGGTGGTGTTTAGTGACAATGGTGGCAGTTTTTTTGTGAGATTGAAGACAGCGATGATGGTGGTGTTTAGTGACAATGGTGGCAATTTTTTTTTGTGAGATTGAAGACAGTGATGGTGGTGTTTAGTGACAATGGTGGCAGTTTTTTTGTGAGATTGAAGACAGCGATGATGGTGGTGTTTAGTGACAATGGTGGCAATTTTTTTTTGTGAGATTGAAGACAGTGATGGTGGTCGTATTCTGCAGATGGTAATTATGGTATTCTGAGTAAAATGTTTATTATGGTAGTGTTCTGCCGATGTTTAAAATATATTTTGCATGGTAGATAGAATTATTGAATATAGTTTGGCTTTTCACACGCTTGAATTTGCCAACCCATGGGTTTGTACGTAGGAAAAGTAATAATCTGCCCTTAGTGAAAACCCAACAGATCCAGTGAAAATCTGCAATTAAAAGTGAATTCTGCGTGACTTCTTGTTCGAAGCAACCCATTTCACAGTAGAGATTTGGTCAAGATATCTACTGCCTGAATTTGGTACATTTAATGCTTTAAATGTAATAATGTTATTGAATTTTGCTTCTACGGAAAACTATATCCTACATCAAGAAGTAAGGAACACCT